AGCAACATCAAGAAGAAAGAACACGAGAAGCTTGAGAAATACCAAGGGCTGAAAGAAGAGCTAGAAAATATGTACAAAGTAAGAGCAGCAGTGGTGCCAGTGGTAATCGGAGCACTGGGGGCTGTGACCCCCAAACTGGGAGAGTGGCTACAGCAGATTCCAGGTAAAACATCAGAGGTCTCTGTCCAGAAGAGCGCAGTCCTAGGAACAGCTAAGATACTGCGCAGAACCCTCAAACCCCCAGGCCTCTGGTAGAGGACCCGAGCTTGAGGATGACACATACCACCCCACGAGGGGTAAGAAAACAGTTTTTGCTGCAGCACTCAGATGTGAGGAGCCAAAGGAGGTCTTACTGCTTGTGGATATTTGTGCTACATTTCAAACATCCAGTGATGATTGTGAAAGAAGATTTAATTTAATAAATCATAACAAAACGACATCCAGAAAGCTCTTAAAGTGGGATAAAGGGACAACTTGGAGAAGTGAAAAGGATATTAATCATAAAATGCTTTAACTATTATATCACTACAAACACAAAATCTGTGCAGTTAAAGAGTAACAGGGCAAGACAAAGAGTTAAAGGAATTTATACTGTATCACAAGCTTCAGCACACATTTCATTGTGTGAAATCTGAAGGTTTTAATGTGAACAAAACGCTATGACTGAAAGTTGTAATGTCTTATTTCAAATGTATTGCATCTGTGTATGTGTCCTGAGTTCATCAGGACAATACATACCTTGTAGCAGTGATGCCACGAAGGCAGTAGACAAAGAGGTTGAACAAAGGAGTACTATGTGGCTTAGAGGCATTTCTCCATCTGCTATCCAGGCCAATATAGTCACTATAAGAAAGGCCAGCAGACCCAGAACTGTGGCTTGAAGCTGAAAAATTAAAAATATAAGTAAAGAGTAAGAAACTTTGATTGAATAAATCCTGCTTTTATTAAATCACATGTAGAGATATGAACAGTTAACCTGTTTTAGAGCAAGATTTCCACCAATCAGCATCCACATATCTCTGGTAGATTCAATTTCCCCAGTATTTACCTAGCAATGCCAGATGTATATGGAGTGAAAATGAAAGGAAAACTCAGGAAAATCTGAAGTTTCATCAATGCAGGAATAAATCAAACTAATCAAAAGCTCCATGCCAAACCCCACCAGCCCTGCTAAAGGAGAGTTATATGACTGTTTCTCATATTTCAAATTGCATTGACAGCATGGGCACAGGCCACTACTACTGTTGTTTATTGCAATAAGCTACGATAAATAATGCATAAAATCAATCTGCCATCACCGTTGTAGGATTTCTAAGAAATATAACCAAAGAGCCTTATAACATATAAATTCTGGGGTTCTTAAATTAACCCAAAGATGTCTCAAAGATTTAGAAACACTGGAGAAAGAGAACTGCAATAGAATCATTAATAGCACCAAAAATCATGACTAAAAATATCCTACAGTACTGCCTAGAAATAAAGAATGACATAAATAAAACATAATAAACAGAAAACACATTAGCATCTGAAAGACTCACAACAGTGGACAATCTTGATGCCAGCGTCATTTCCAGGTTTCCTTTCATGCCTAAAACAGCTGGAACCAGAATTAAAATCTCAGTGATATCCTGGAACACATCCCAGCTCTGCCAGACAAAAAGAGAAAACAGTATAACTGGACCACACACTCCAGCAATCACTGAGAGAAACAATCATCGGATGAGTCTTATTTCAGTAAATCTCAGAGCCAATGAGCTTTTAGATATGAGTTCTAGCTATGTTTTTCACAACTACCAGGGATTTAATTTATCAATCTCATAACATTTGCCTACAAAACTTTCTTAAAACTTTTGTAATTTCAATACTTTTATTTTTGTTTTTCTAGAATTGTCTGTTGTGTCATTTCCTCAATTTTATTTTTTTAATATATTTTTTGTTCTATTTTCTTTTTATGTATCTAATTTTATTCTGCTTGCGTGAGCATCAACATAGCCTTAGCTCATTCATTAGCATCTGTTTACTCACCTGCACAAAGTCAAGTAGCATCCCAACAGAAACCGTCCCCAGACCGGCCAGTACAAACGGTACCAGAATCTGCAGCACCATGGAACACACTGATTCCGTGGGTCCACTTGAACCTTCTCCACTCTTTGCAGTCATGGATCTGTTTAACCTTGACCCATTCCATAGTTCATTGGAAAGCAAGGGGTCGGACTCATTGCACTCTGGAGACTCATCCTCCAAACTGTTACTGTCTGTAGATAAACATCTATGGGAACTCCAATTCCTTAGACTTCCAGAGATCTCTGAGACGGTTGGGACTGAACCATATTGCTGACTGCCGTGTGTTCTTAAAATTCTGCTTTGGGACATCTTAGTTGGTGAATTTGGAACAACCATGGTGAAAAGTTGATCTCAGGAGAATGTGCCTTTGCCTGAAAAATTAAACAAACAATAATTTGGAGGAGCATTTTCTCAGCACTTAGATGAAAATCCCATTACTGTGGCCTGTGGACTTCAGGCAACAGGACACTCGTTTGAGGACAAAGACATCCATATTCTTGCAAAGGAAGAAGTTTGAGCAAGGGGTTAAGGAACCATTCTTTGTTTACCTGGAAAATTTATTATCTCACAATGGGGAAATTGTAGTGTTTACAACAGCAAAAAAATCATAGAAAAATGCTCACACAACTATGGACCTATGGAAAATGTATAAGAATAAAATAATAGTGAAGAGTTAAAAGAAACAATAAAATACTGTAAAGTACTGTAAAGTGTTTTAACAATATAAACCTGTGCACCTGGAGAATCAATAACAATATACAACTATGGACATTGTTACACTAATGGATATTTTAGAATAGCAGCAACAGCAGAGCTAAGGTAGAAACTGTGCAAAGTCAGCATGAATGTAACAACTTATTGAGGTTGTTGGGAACAGTGGTAGTCTTTCAGCTGCTGGGGGGAAGGATCTGTGATAACCATCCCTGGAGCATTTAGGCGGCAGCACTTTCTTTCACTGAGTTTTGTCATAAGTAGATGTTGTAAAAAATAATACAAAATCAGAATCATTATACAGACACTTTTTATCCGAGTGTAAAGAAACTGCCTCTTCCTTTGTTGGGTCCTTTCTCGTGCTGTAAAAGACACAGTTTAAAAACTCACAACCCCAGAACTTTAACCTTTGCTCCTTTCTCGCGCTGTAAAAGTATTTTTCTATTATTCTTTGAACAGCCTCCAGAAAATCAGCCAATCTACTGCCCTCTTTTGTGTTAAGACCAATCATTACCACCAACCAAGCTGTAAAACATTTGTTGGGTCCTTTCCTGTGCGGTAAAAGACACAGTTTAAAAACTCACACCCCAGAACTTTAATTTAAAAAACAGACACCCATCCTTAAACTTTTCACCTTTTTCCTACACCCAACCCATCAGACGCACACACACACACACACACACACACACACACACCCCACATACACACACACACACCCCTACATACACACACATACATGCAGACCCACATTATCACCCCACCCCTTCAGAATGTGAGTGAAACAGCAAATGATTTGCAATGAGGGTTTAAAAATGTGTTTAAACAATTATATACCTGTTTTTTCGATAAGCAACTTTCATCTTCCTAAACAATGTTTATTTTCACAGCTTTTAACAAAGCACCCTTGACTCAGAGAAAGTTTGCAAATTGTAAAATCACATGCCTGCTCGTTTCCCGCATTCTAAAACAGACAGTTGAAAATTTATACCCCAGACCTTTATTTTAAAAAAACAGACACCCCGCGCTGTTAGTGTTATCTAAAACATCATCTAATTTTACAGCTCGACAGGTGTAGGGTTTTAAGCTCCTACAAAAAGACCGTATGCCATGGGGACTTATGATGCTACACCACTGGTGAGTGCACAACTTAATGAAATTTGCAGAGGTAGATCATAACCTTTTAAGTGTGCTAAAGATGTCATCGGAATGTTGGAAGAACTATATTCATCACTGCATCCTTTCACTCACAATGGTTCATACTGGAATTGTGTTTAAGATACTTACAGTAGAAGATGCAAAGAGGACTCTAAAAATCTAAACAAATGTGTTCCATAGTTTGGGAGCCAATACAGAAATAAAACGTCTCCTCTAAGTTTTTTGAAAACGCTCTGAATCAAATAAAACCTGATGGTTAGTTGATCTAAAGTCTGTGAAATTAGATATTAGACTGTGCTTTTTCTTAACTAAATAAAAGTAACATTGTTCCGTTCTTTATGCTTAAATGTAGGGAGTTGAATCAGGTGTGAAAAGAAGCAGATTCCTCCCTATTTTAGAGAGGGGGGGAAATATAGATTAACATGTCCTTACTATGTTTAAGGTTCTCAAATCCTTTTTTTCTGGTGTGAACGGAAAAAAAGTTGTCTGAAAGGTTTATCTGGCTAAATTTATGTCCTTGATGAATTGAAGGGTTTTTCTTGGGAATAACCAAATGTTCAAGTGTGAGAGAGATCGTTATGAAGGGGGTGGGTTTGTTCCCCTGGGGGAATGTGTTTGCGTAAGGTATAAAAAGTATGTACTTGTTAGGTTTCTGTTTCTGTTATGTTTTTCTTTTGATATTCAGTTTAGCTTTGCTCTTTGTTTTATAGGTTTTTATGGTTTAATTCTTATTTTGTTGTGTTCCTTGGGTTTTTCTCAGTTACTGTCTCAGTCTTGGTTCTATTTTCTTTTTAGTGTTCAGTTTTGCTTTACTCCTTGTTTTCTAGTCTTAGTGGTTTAATTCTTATTTTGTTCTTTCTGGTTATTTTCAGTTCTCAGGTTTTTATTTGTTGCCCTCTGCTGCCCTATTGAGTTCTCTTTTTTTCTCTTGCTCCTTTCTTGTTTCTGCTCTGCTCACACCTGCTTCTAATCTGTTCGTTAACCCTCTCCTTGGCTCTGTTCGAAAACCTAGGACGGGTCCTCCAAGGATGCGGTCTACCTAGACTGGATCCTTCGAAGTCCTTTAAAATAAGGAGACCGGAAGAGTTTTGGCTGTAAATTCGACCAGGTCTACCCTTTGGCGGGTTTTACCGCCGTATGCTCTGTTGCTTAGCAACCGTGAACGTTGACACACAAAGCAGGAAAAGAATGAATACAGAAGTTTCAAAAACTGTTTATTTATTTCTTTTTCTTTCTCATGCTCCCAAAGACTACACTCACAAGAATCCAGAGTGGAATAAAGGTTCCAACCACCGGGAGCAGGAACAAA